CTCAGTCCGTTGAGGGCAAAAGTGTGAAAGACCCTCAGTCCGTTGAGGGCAAGCACGAGGAAACAAAAGGTGAGACGACGAGGCAAGCAAGCAAAAGAAGAGACCATGGTGAACAAGAAGAAGCTGCGCAAGCAGCAGAAAATGGGCAAGATCCAAGGTACAGTGAAGAAAGCACCCACCTTTGTTGTCGGACCTGCTCCCAAGGACGGGTGGGTTGTGGAGGCTACGACAGCCCATGATCGCGCCAAGGAGAGCGGCACGTCCGAGGCATTTCTCCGCGAAGCCACGGCTTTCTGCGCGTTGCGACAATGGCCAAAAGCACAAAAAGCCATCATGAAGGGCTTGAAGAAACTACAACCTAGTAGCGAAGAGACGAAGCGGCGCCTTGAGCAACTCCAGGAGCAGAGTCCACAGCGACGACGCGATTGCAGAAGATATTCAAAAGATCAAGCGACACGAACTCGATGTGGATGGGATCGTGGTGATCCACCCAACATTTTCGAACCTTCCATTTCTCCACTATGCTGCCTACGGTGGTGATGTGCGACTGTTGCAAGAAGTGGTGGCCCTGGGTGCCGCGATTGATTTGCCAGCGTCACCAATGATGATGGAGGATGACAAAGTGCCCTTACGCCAAGGTACAACAGCACTGCTTTTGGTGATTGAGATTCTCGCCTCCTATGCCTTGATGCCATTGGATTTTTGGCAGTTTTTGCGCTCGCATTACAACAACGACGCCGAACGGCATCTGGACAATATGGAAAACTGCGCGATTCGATTGGTGGAGCTGGGAGCTGACTGCTCGCGAAAGACTGTACTTCCTGACTCTTCTTCTACCAGTGATTTTTCATCTCATGGTGGAATGATGCGGTCTGCAGGCTTGAATGGAAAGTCCATCAAGGAGCTCGCCGTGATATCGGGAAGAACTCGTCTCATCCAGGCCGTACGTCAATTCGAGACCAAGCAAGACACGATTGCCAAGGCCCATTGTCGATGCGGTAGTCGTTTGCCTTGGATGCAGTGCCACGGAAGCGCACCTAAGGATGGTCAACATTCCCACTTCTTTGTCGACAAGAAAGATGGAAAGGTGCAGTTTCGTCTCTCTCCATCGGCACCTTGTCCTTGCGGACACGGGGAAAAGACGTACTTCAGCTGCTGCTGGAAGGGAACACACAAGGTTGAATATCTTCACGATGAAGCTACCACGAGAACTGAGCTCTTCCTGACACCAACGGCTTTTCCTATTGAGGAAATATCGGAGGTATTTGAAAAGCTCAAAGAAGAGAACGGGCTTCACGGTCTCTACGGATATCCGAAGCCAAACATGAGCTATGAGGAAAGACGAGCGTGGCATGCTGATCGGATTCGTTCGGGCTTTCTATCAGCGGCGGGCATGGTTGGTATGCAACATTTGGGTGAAGCGAGTACGATGAATCCTTGGGATGCTGACGTGTATGATCCCGAGGTATATGCCGGGTGCTTCGAGCGACTTGACGACTACTTCTTTTGGACCCATTTACACTGGCACATCACAAAGCTAGAGCTTCTTGCTCGAGTTCGAGAGTGGAATGTAGCCCTGGAGCAGTATTGTGACGAAAAGGGCCTTGTCGGAGAGGAGCGAGATGCTGTTGTGAAGAAGCACACTGCCAGCCCCTTGGCCCCTTGTGCCAACCCATCGTGCGATGCGGTTGAGGCTTCCGTGAAGGAGTTCCGGAAGTGTAGTAGCTGCATGGTGGTTGCCTATTGTTCTCGCTCTTGTCAGCAAGAGCACTGGGAGGGAGGCCACAAGGGAGGCTGTGTGGACCAGGTCGGAGACACCAAACTCTACCAAGGCATTTGTCGCGCATGAATCTACTGTGGAACCTTTATGAACGTCCAACGAGTGGCCCCACACACACCCCGGCTTCCGCAGATAACTATCCTACTCTAACCCGGCCGTTGTCGAATTTTGCTGTTTGCTTGCGTGCGAAGTCCCCCAGCTACATTGGAACTGTCTCCCGGGAAGCTGCTACCGAGGCACCACACGGTTGAAGTCAGGCCGACTTCTGTTCAAGAAGCTATGGAACAAGCGTTTGCATTGCTCAGATTGGTGGGCCGGAGTTTTCAGCCACCGAACTCTACTGAGGAAGGCACGTTGATTAGAACTTGCATTCAATCCTCTGCTCTCCTCGTACCGTATTGCTCGACTCGTCACTCGTCACCACTCTTGCCCCTCATATAACTTGCACAAAGAATGCTTCTTGCACACGTGAGAGAGTTTGTCAGTGGCCGCGTATGGTACCATTATAACCTCTTCCTTGTCGGTCCTTTGCACCGTACGTCAAACTGGATCAGCAAGCTTGATGAACGGAAATGGCTAGGCTATGTGAGAGGGGACTACATGTATGGGTGAACTTTGTTGCCTCGTGAGCAAAAGTCGAGCGGGCAGGGAATGAATCTGATGAGCGAGCAGCCACCAGAAGGAGATGGAAGGCAAGGGAGTACAAAGAGTAAACAGAGCCAGGGGAGGCAGAGGGCAGGGGCAGACTACTCGTGGTAAAGGTTGAGTGCACCAGGATCATCCCAGTGCCTTGAGCTCATTGTAGTCGCACGAACACAAGAACCTCAGAGGCACATCATAGTGGCACGAGCAAGGGCAATGCTCAATCAGGCGGAAACATAGGAGAGAACCATAGAGTAGGGCTTAGACCACTTCTTAGCCAGAAGCTGGGAGAGCCATAGGAGAACAGCAGTAGCTTTGGCAGCAAAGAGGCCATCAACTGAAACAACAAAGGGGTGAAGTGCCAGCTTTGTACAGTGCAGGAAGCCAGGTTTTCATCTTCTTCGTTTTCTGGTGCTGGGAAAGTGCCTTCTCAGCAGTGACACCATGGTCTCGATGACCAGGAGACTCAACATCCACGAGGGAGACATCAAAGATACAATATGTACCTCTGCCAGAAGCCGCAAACCAGGATACCACCTCGGTCTTGAGTGACAGGATCAGAGGGAGTAATAGCATGGGAAGAATCAACAGGGCCAATCGTGGCCATAGCTGGGTGACCAAGAGTGATACAGGGTTCATTGCAGACAGCAGAGCCCATGAAAGCTATGGAGGATAAATCAGCAAGATTTCGCACAATTTGATGTGGTGCTGAAGAAGTTCACAGTGGGAGCAGGAAAAGGTTTGTTGGAAACCAAGTCATCACCAAAGCCACCTTCAATATCAAAAAGTTCACCACTGCCAACCATTAGAAGGGCATTGCAATGATTCATACAAAAAGAACGTGCGATTAGACGCGTCAGTAGTTGATTGGAGTTATTAAAGCCTCAATCAAGACTTGTTTTCACCAGCTCCATTAGCTCAGTAGGTAGAGCACACGACTTTTAATCGTGTGGCCGTGGGTTCAAGCCCCACATGGAGTAAAACTATTTTGCTATCATTCCAATTTCAGTTTTGGGAATGACCTTTTGCTTGGAGCTTTTGTCCTTTTCTTGTGGGAGCATTCACAGAGAAACTCTGCTGAGCATCTGCAACTTCTACAAAAGCCTGACTGTACCACTCCCTTTACCAATAGATTTGCTTCAGTCTTGCAAGCCTTCTGTTCTGCACTCTATGAATGAGCCATCAACGAGGTGCACGGCAGTAAAAGAATGATAGACTAAACTCAGAGGACGCACAACCCGTTCCACTAGTTCGACGGAGTTTTCCACCCCGCGCTTCAAAGGGTCAACCCATCGTGCTTTTTTGTGTAGCGATGCCCATGGACGCGACGACCGCACTCTACTCTTTTGCGGCTCTTTCCACCGCTACCGCAGCTACCTACATTTATGCCGCCTTTGCCGCAGTGGACATGGGCTAGCTGATTCGGGCTAGCTCCCAAGTCATATGATACTGTTTGCCTTCGCAGATAAGAGTTAGTTGCGCCCCCGGCTTTGCCTGCCGTCGACTATATCGCTTCCTCCGTCCGACCCGAGCATTCACTGATATAAGCCAACTTTGTTGAGAGCATCGATCGGAAAGAGGAATTCTAATCGGGGCGAACATTGCGTTGATGATTATGCAAAAGGCTGAAAATGCGTGTCCTCACTTTTCTACCGGTGCGCATCAAACGCACCAATCTCCCAAAGCGGTAGTTAATTCCTATTTCATGACCGTGGTTGGCCCATTGTCCAGCTGCACTCAATTCAACTTTGCGATGCTCGCATCCCATACAGCCCATGGCTATGCTCACTGCATTCCTGTTGCTGGTCCTCCACGGTTGTTGGCTGGACACAGCCCGACATGGTTCATTGTCAACCAAATCCCTTCATAATATTGCATTGAACAATTGAGCCTCCAGTCCCTTTCCATCGTTTTCAGAATCGTATGATATCCATCACCTGTGTACGCCCAATAATAATGAGACACCCCACTTGTCTTGTTCGGATTGATCCAAATTAGATTAAATTCCATTGGACGGACACATTCGTGCTGCCGCAAAGAGTATGACAACAGGTATGAACCATGCCAATTGGTACCATGAAAGCTCAAAGAAAAATGCCCAGAATACCAATGCTAACAATATGACCATTCCTTGAATGGCATGCGATTGGCATTTCATCCACCGAAGAATGCAACGATCGGCATCTGATGTGCGTGTTGATGCTGATGATGCTGGGCTTGTCTCTGTGGCTGCTTCGGGAGAGACGGTGCTTTCGGGTGCTGGCACACTGGAATTCTGACTTTCCCTAGACGTCGTGTTGCCTGAAACAGCGACACTATCTTGTTCTTCCTCATTATTGACTGTATCCTCATTGTTTGATGTCGATTGCCGCTCTACGTCATTAGGGGTTCCCGCGCCGCCGCCATGCGAATCTACCACCATTGTCATGCCACAATCTTCACTTCAATTAACCAGAGCCAGGACCTTGCATCCAGAGGACCCACCAGATGATAGTGTTCTCTTAGTTAGTGGCTTGCGGAAGGAAACAGGATGAGCCTTCAACCTGCTGCAACTGTCACGATACGCGACGCTTCATGAGTGGAAAAGCCTCATCTCTCTCAAGTCAGAAGAACGAAGTGCGAAAGATTGCGAATTGCGAGAGCTGAAGATGATGATGGGATCGCGATCGAGATCGATCCCCGGGATTCTTGTGTTAAGGTTAGAGCTTATACCTCGGCTCGCTTGCTTGCGAACTCGGATCCAAAGATCCAAACCACAAACCACGGTTGTCGACCACTCCAACCACCACAAATTCCACTCTCTGCCTTTCATATGCATCTGACACTTGAAGCCATCACAACATCACAACATCACAACACTTGCATCCATCGCAACCGCCAACGAGAAAAGAGACCCGAGTGCCGAGCTTCAGCAAACAAGAGAGAGGATGTCTGCCACACCAGCCTGCTTCAATGGGGGCAAGATGCTCCACATATTTGCGTTTAACGACGATAACAGAAAGTACGAGACGGATGGAACTTTCACCAATCCTGCTGCGGAAGAAGCACTGTGTCACGGTACACTTTTCTACAAGATCGACGGAAGCAATGGTATGGTTCAAGTAGTCAATGATGATACTTTAAAGATATACCAACGACTGGACACTCGAGGAAAGGAACCCGACAATCAACTGATACCTCTTCCTGACGGCAAGAACGCCACGGAATACCCCGGCCATTCCTACTACTACAACGAAATATTGGAAAACGTCCAAGGAAAGCGACTGATCAAACGCAATCGGGCCATGATTGACATTGTGGATCGACACCGAACCACGTTCCTCGCATTCGGTCAAGAGTGGATCAGTGTAGAATGGATTGGGACCATGTTCAACAGCACACCCAATGTTCCTCATCCCATTGCCGTCGCGATTCACCAAGAACAAAGAGTCGAAATGGAACAACACTCAACAGAGGAGAATGGAGGAGATGCCAACGGAACAAAAAATGGACAATCTGCCCCCGGTATTCAACGAACTTATGCGGGCATGCGCAAGTTTTTGATAGAAGACTGTGCCGAACAACCAGTCGAAGGATTGATTATTGAACATGAAGGGGTTTACTGGAAAGTGAAGTCTGATGGCTTCCTCCTGCCAGAGGGAATCTCCAATCCATTCAAAAAGAACAGAGAAAACTCGAGGCCTCCCGTCTTCCTGGTATGACACTTGCTTGAAACTATGGAATGGGTCTATATTCAAAACATCCCTCTCAGCTATTCCCCATAGATTTGCAGTTGCCTACCCCCTATTAATACCGAGTTGATATGTGTTATATCAATGGTGTTTTGCTTGTGTTTATTCCTTGACAGAATCTACTAGTTGCTAGCTAGAGTTCGGGAGTAAATGGGCTGGGATACCTGGTACCAGGTAGCGGTACCGGTACGGTGCCGTAGTAGCAAACCCCCAGCATCCTGTTTGAGATTGTCATTCGACGTCATCCTATCGGTCCCTTCAAGGCTCCGTCCCGGTTTCAACGTCACATCACAAAGTAAAAGGTGGATCTTCAACAATTATTGGTTGATCCGAAAGTTTCACGGTGGTAGAAAATCCACCTGACAGCTCGTTTTGGCCAATGACACAGAGATCACTTGTCGTCAAGCAAGCATCCAAACTGCGTCGTCTTTTAAAACGAGTGTTTTCAAGTGAATGTTTCTTCATAAAAATCAGCCGCTGAGATTGCCGATCAACCAACCATGGAGGAAAATGTTGTCACATTAACAGATAGTTTCAGCGGCGTGACGGTCAAAGTAGCAGAATGGGACTTTCGCTCAATGACTGCGGAGACATTCAAACAACGCTTTGAAGTCTCCATCCAAAAACCTTTACAGGATCTATTGAATAACTTTAAGCGAAATCCAATTGTGGAAATGCCGCGGTCACTCCAAATGTCGCTGTTAGGACTAATTCGTGGAATCGCTCAATTCTACAAGTATATCCTGTCCCGTTCAGACACACAGGTCAACTTGAATCTTCGTCAAATGTTTGGACCGCAAACATCACGCCAAGTTTGTTTCCTGTACTTCCAAAGTATGAATCGAATTCGTAAAGTTTGTTTGTCTATCATTGACACAAACCGTTCGCGAGAACCTTTCACCGTGAGGCCGAGAAGCTTAGAAGATATGGAAGAAACGTTCTTTGGTCCAGCTTTTGCTTGTCAACGTTCGACGATGCGGAGAGGAGCGATGCCGGGGGTATCTTTCCCAGTGCTGGTGTGCTGGAAAATCATGGAACTAGTGCCAACTAACTGCCCTGACACCTTCTTGGAACCGAAAATCGTTCGCCTCCAAACGGAAGAGGAACTAAGAATGTGCCCGACATCCGCAGGAATGAACACAAATCGAAAAACGAGATTTTACGCTGCACTTGCAAAGGATCCCGACTTAGCTCCTTATAAAGCAGAGACTTGTGCTCTATGTGAAGGGTCCGGGGTGGAGGAAAAGCCTCGTCCGTGCAGTAGATGTAGAGTGGCGCGTTACTGCTGCAAGGAGCACCAAGTCGAGCACTGGCCGTTACACAAAAAGCATTGCAAGCGATTGCTGGTATTGAAGCAGGAGCAGGGTTACCGCCCAGAGTCTATCGTGTGACATCACCAACAGGAAAGTGGCTCTAGGACCAGTTGGGGCGACTTTTTTTTTAAAGCTATTCCTGTAGATCCTTTAAAAAATAGCCAGTTTGCTTTTTCACCAAGCCAGGGAGCTTGATAGAGCACCGGCAGCTTGTACTGATGCTGCCAGCATAGCCCCTTTTAAATGCATAGTCCCGGCCTTCCCAAAACATCATAGAGCATTCGCGTGCAGACTCCTCCACGGGAGAACACCAGCCCGAAGTGGCTACCAAACTCTTACCTCTGCAGGTTTAAGCAGCTTCTTTCTGCTAGTTGCTATTGCCTGGAATAGTTGGATGTAGTTTTCTTGAGAGGAACTCACGTGCCTAATCTGCCTAATTGTTTCCGTCTGTGCCATGTTGAATGTTTTAAAGGGTCCTTGACATGATCTAGTGACAAGAGCACTGATTTTTTCCGGGCTGAGCTATCCTCTTTGCTTTGCTCCCTTTGTCTGATTGTGCAAATTATTGCTTATTGAGCTCATCGTCTGGTAGCACTCCTTGCATTGGTTCTGTTGTTGTATTTCCTTCATCTTCCCCCAATTCCTCGAGGTCATGGAGGTCGCACCGAGAGACAGCGCCCGCAGGCTTTCCCGACAGCCAGGCTGATAATCACCATCATTCGAAGCCCCAGCGTTTGAATGAGCGTGTAGTCCCTCTCAACGCTGGCAAGGAGGTCCAACATGCTGCATGCAAAGCTTTCGTACCGGTACGGCAAAGGATCCACAAGCAGAGTGTGGTCCTCATTTATAAGAGCTACTACATGAGCAGTAGTCGTACTCTCACCGAGTTGTTGAGGTTTTGGGCCGATGGAAGCTGACGTCAGTGTATCTTTTGCAGACGTGGATATTTCCTGGATCGGTTGTCGGGTTCTTCGAGTTCGACTGGATAAGAGAAAAGAAGAGCACCATGGTGAAAAGCCTCACTGATGAACAATTAATTGTTGGCCACATCCGCACTGCTACTCGGCTACTGAGAATTGGAAAGACTTGTATGGACGCTTGTGCTGCTATGGGCATCAGGGACATTCAAGCTTCTTTCTGCACTCCTTCAACCTTCAACCCATTCGATTCGATTCATTCGCCGTAAAAAACAGTTTGCATCAACAAAAGGTGTGGTGAATCGAATCTGGCTAGGTAGACTAGTCTACCGTAGCTAGCTAGACAGGCAATCAAGCAGCCAAGACACTCCGGAACATAGCCTTGGTGCTACCGTAGGGCAGAGAGTAGTAGACGTTTTTTTAATTTCACCATCAGATTGTCATCGGCAACCACATGTTTCGCTCATGCAACTTTCAACAGCCTCGGGCTATCCATCATAATATTTCTTTCTCAAAGGTGGACGCTTGGGAACGTGGCGGACAACAAGGCAAGTTGCAGTGGAAATGATAGGCTATCTGCTGCTCTTGAAGACCAACAACACAGTCGGCACAAGTGCCAGCTCCTGCATCCTGCATGCTGCATCCATGCAGCCTCGAGAAAATCAAAGCCCACTGTGCGTACAGCCCACACAGTACCGTTTGAGGATTTGGAGAAGTTATTAATTAATTGACAAGTCAGCGGTCGGCGAGCTGTTCGAGAAGAAGAGTACCACAGTTGACTTCTCGACTTTTCACTTGCCAAAAGTACGATTTCTTCAACTCTTCACTCTTCATTTCAATGCACAACTGGTGATGAAGTAACGGTGTGGTGGGGGGATATTTTAATGCAAGTCAACAGGAATATCTTATGTTCAGATCCCTTCTATCCCTATGGAGGCTGGAGTGCTGGGTTGATGGAACTGTTGTTGGGTGCCAGCAGCTGTGCCAGCTGAAAACAACCTGCACATGCTAGAATGCACATGTAGGTGTAGCAATTTCGTGTGAGCTTCCAGTAGGACAAAAAAAAATAGTTGCCCACATGCCTCAGACACAATCTTACCAGTCCCGATTTTTTGGAGGTCATAATAATGTTTGATAGAAAGAAGGTTGTGAGTGGGAAGCACTCAATTATGATGCGTTGCCTTGACATAAAGAATCTTTTCAGCGTGGCTGTTTTCGAAGAACGGCGGCCTGGTTCCATGGATTAATGTGCAACAGTCACTCATCTATCTTGCAACAGTAAGAGCAGAGGCCTGTCATGGTTTTTGAGGATTCCCAAATATTAGCGTTAAGACGTGTATAATATTGATCTTGGATGCATCGAAGAGCACACATACATTTGCTTCATTGCTTGTCAAACCATGCTCCAACTACGGAAGCCTAAAAAGTACGATTACTGCATGCCTGCCTTCGGGAAGGTTCTTCTTCATGGTCACCTTGGAAAGTTCTCATTACAACCAATTGTTCATCAAGCTGCCACATCTTCAAGAGAACTCAAGAGAGACTTTTGTGGCTCTTATGTCCATTCTAAGGGGACTGTGTGAGTTAGGTACCAGCTGGTACGGCGACTGGATTTGCAAAGCAAATCTGTCAAAGGACAAAGAAACAACGACAGACCTTGACACAGCCGTAGCTCCTTGATGCACTCGGAAGAGAGCTTCAATTTCAATACGGTAGTTCAGGTAAATAAAGAGTTAATCTTTCTCTTAAAAACAAAATGAATCAATGGTTATTTTACCACATCTACCTTGATAATAAAGCTGTCTTCGCGAACGACTGACTGCTTGGGAGCAAACGCACCAATGTTGGACCGGTACATGTACTAGCACATACAACATGTACATGTACCTGGCACCGACAAACAGCACGACGAGGAAGTTCCTGTCTCACACTTTTTAATTATTCTCCCTTCGGCTTTTGCGAAGCGCCACCATAGCTCTGAATTCGAGGCCTCCTTCTCTCGAACCTACCGTACGATTCTCTCTCCAAACTGCAAACTGCAAACTGCAACTCTACCTACCTGTTGCAACAAGCTCGCTATCCACAGTACTACTACTGTACTGCACAACCTCAACGCTTCTACTATCTTTCACTGTCAACCAAAAGAGACAACATGGCAACAGCTCCTGCCATGGATATCTTGGAAGGCGACCTGGTGGCCTTGAATGACAAAGGCGTAAAGCTCTTGATGGAAGGAGGTGATTTGCAGGAGACTTTGCTGTCGTTTGCCACGAGCTTTGCAATACTGGAACAGCAACTGTCAGGCAATGGGCTGGCAGAACGGCTACAACAACAAGCCGTGTTCTCCACGATAGCCGTGGAACCAAGAGCGAATGATTCCAGTGCCAACGCCAATTCTTCGACTTCGACTTCCAACTCCAGTTCTGCCAGCAGCAATACGGCCCCCTTCTCTTGTCGTTCCAGTCCATCCACTTCCCATCATGCCTTCACTTCAAATAACTTTTCCTTTTGGGATCCACACATGGGAGCACCGCTCTTATCCAAGGAACAACTCTTTGTTTACCACAAGCCAGTCGAATTTTCGTCCAATGATCATCCATTGTTTTGTCGGGCAGCACTGCAGTTCAATGTATCCTTGGCCAATCATTGCTTGGGAGTGCGCACGGGGGACTTGACCACCTTGCAAAACTCGGTCTTGCTCTATGATTTGGCCTTTCAAACCTTCAAGACAATCTTGCTCCAACACTGTACACCCAGCACTCCAGAAGCCTACTGGGAACGGCTACAAGTGTACCTATTGGCGTCTTGGAACAACCAGGCTACCATTCACATGGCCCTGAAGAATCGAGACTATGCCCGGGATATGCTCAAAGAACAAAAGGTCATGATTATGGATATTCATCGGAGGCAAACTCTCGGCCAAGAAAAGGCAGCACAAGTGTCCAACTTGATGCAAGCCTTTCTGATGAATGAATTCATGGTGGAAGTTACAGCCATGGCTTGCGTGGCTTGATGAAACACTACTCTACGAAGAAATTCAATCGAATGGGCCACCATTCTTGTACAAAGACGAACATAATATGCACCCGTACATACCACCTTAATTAAAAATTCATCAATACATACATTTACGTTCATCATCTCCCAGATAACTCTGCTAGCTACCGTAGCTTGCTAGTAGAGAAACAGACAATTAGTTTGGCCGTTGAGTGGCCCAACCCCAGCTAGCTAGTAGCCTTTGTTAGTTCGAACTAGATAGCCAGCTACTACCTACAACCAGCTTGTGGGAGGCAGTAGCATGCCCTGCAGTACGATACTGTTTGGACGGTATGGTACGACTGTACCTGGTAGGTGGCTGTGGCATCGGAGGTTTTGTGAGGAAGAGTTTAGCCGCAAGGGCCTGTCTGTGGGAGTGACACACGACTCGACTGCCTGCAGCAAGTTCACGCCAGCCAGTCCCAGATGAAAAATCACTCCCGTTGGCGACCACTGCGTTGCCATCAGCGATTTCAGCATGGTCAAGAGCGCAGAGGACAAGAAAATGCGGATGAAGCAACCACCACCGCACCATGGGCAACATCACACAACCAGTAGAGCCTAAAGTAAAAAGAATACATCAGCAAAACAACCATGAAGTAGAATCATGGGATAACGGAACCCAGGGACATCTTGTCATGCCCTCGACGTCAAAGGATGGCGGCTCCAAGAAAAAGCAGAAACGCCGCGTTCTAGCACGGCAACCACAACCAAGACCACGAACATCCCGTGGAAAGCGCTCGATGGTGAAAGAAGCTACTGAAATTCCTGGATCACTTCCAGTAAAACAACTCAATGAAGCGAGAGAAGTGCTTGTAGCGTCAGACTACAAACCAGGGGGAAATTGGGAACACTGGGAACGAAAATCAAGGGTTGTAAATGGGAAAGTCTCGTGGGTTGAAGAATGGGAAGAAGTCAAGGGAACTCCACGATCATGCAAATTTTTGAGCAAACAGCATGAAGCCTTGAACTGGCCGACGACAATCAACAAGAGGGAACATCAGCAGACACTCCAGAAACGAGTCAGAGGCGACCCATCGCTACCCGCAGACAAGCAATGTGGCGAGGCGACAAAGTCCAGCCAACAACAGCCAACTGTTGCTCTTCCATCGCTTCAGAACGCCAGTACCCCGGAAGTCTCATTTTTTAAGATGCCGCCACCAAGTCAAGCAGAAAAAGAATATGGGTCACTCACTGTAGTTCGACACAGGCCAGCGGCCGCGGTGGATGCTACCCCATACCCATCTGCATCGCCACAAATTACCCGAAAAAGACCCCTTGACTCGGTAACAGTTTCCCCTCTGGTGGAAACTGGTCAATCTTCGAGCAAATCACCAAACATTGTCAGCCCTCCATCGGGACGCGTGCAGCCGAGGTGCCTGCCTGGCAATGCTTCTGTTTCGATCACTGAAGTCGGAGAAGGTGAGGGCCAAAAGGCTCGAGCGCCAGCAGCAATCAGCATGGATCCTCAAAAACACACGGTACCAATAATACAGGTTCTTTTGTCAAACAAAACCTCTCCGGCTGAGAGAGCTGATGTTCTCCGTGTCTATGATACATGGAAAGCTTCACAAAGCGCCATGGCGGCGAGCAAGAGCGAAGTCCAAAAGGCCGAGGAAGCCTTGGCTCTTGCCCGTAGAGCCTACGACGAGAAAGAAAGGGCTCACAGAGAAGTGTCTCAAGCCATGGAAGCTTCAATTCAAAAGAAAGTGCGTCCTGATCGAAGGACTAAGCGACAAAGGAGATGGATGCCACCAACGCCGTAGACAAATGACGGTTGCCTTTTTTAACAACATTGGCAGAAACACTTTGGAAAGCCCTGCACGGAAATTTTCCCGTATCCACTGCTATTGGGCTCGTCTCGGTATCCATGTACCGGTAGCTCTATACATGACCTACAATAAATTTGTCTATATCTTCCACCATCCAACAATGCAAGGACGTTGCTCGCCTTCACCTTCAAACGCACCGAAACTACATGTAGGACTCGTTCTGTACGCCCAGACTAATATTTGGGATAGAGACTGCACTGCAAAGATCAGTCTATCCAAGTCAAAACAGATTGCAGATTGCCTCAACGTGGTAGCTACGATGATCTGAACGGCTCTCACGCTCAATAGAGTAACGGTAACAGTCGAGGTGCAATAAGATTTTAGTCCCACACGGAAGTGCGTTGGCTGCAATTTGACGAGAGACACGCACAACGGAACGTCGTCACGTTACGACAATCTTCGATCAAGGATATCGCCGCATGCAGTTTAGGAGTTTTGGATGCAACTGAGAAAGAGAAAGGAGCAGCTGGAGTCCACCTACCATGTCAAGATGCTTGAACAAACGATCCATTCGCGACGACTCTTTCAGCGACGGTCTCGACTATCTGATGGACGATGATGACGACGTTGTAGTTCTTCCCACGCAACAGCAGCCCAAAAAATTCAAAACATATCAACCAGCAGCATCTTCCTTGTCGTCGTCCTCCTCCTCCATCGAAGAAATCGATTCCAATGTTCGTAAACTTCCACCATTGACTCATCCGCAACAGCACGAGGTGCTCAGGGCGATCGAGCGAAACGAAGATAAGAATCTGCAGATGCTGTTTTGGGAGCTTGGTTGCAACTTTGTTCTACACGAACATCAGTTCAAAGCAGTTCGTATGGTGGCAGGAGTCCAGGAAGACTTCCCACGTGTCCAGGCAGATACCAGATGGGCGACAATGAATTCTTTGGCGAATGCCAAGCCACGAGACCTGGCCGAGAAAGGACTGCTCGTTGCTGATGTGAGTGGAGCCTGACATGTGTCTTGATCATCCGTTTTCACACCTACAAGAGGTTCTGGAAAAGCGTCATCTCACTGGATTTGTCTTCGTGGGGGGCAGGTAATGGGCTTGGGGAAGACAATTCAGGCGGTGTTGGCTTGTCTCCTTCGCAACCGTATCGCCGCGTCGCAAGGAAAACCTAGAAAGCCGACGCTCATATGCAGTCCCAACGAAAGCGTATTGAGCCAATGGCATGAGCATCTAATTCTGGCCGGAATCGATCCGAACAAGATCTATAGGTTCAAGACAAAGCAAGGCCAACCGATTAGCGGTGACATCTACGTTCTTTGTAACAGGTATGATTTTCAGACAGAGGCCCGCTGGACGTTCCAAAGTATCAAACCTGATGTTTCGATTGAGCCTTCGAGGTCCCCGTTGTATCCTAACGCCCGAAGCGAATTACTGGCAGTGTTGAAGAATCAATACCGAGCCAGTAAAGGGAAGGAAAAGAACAGATACATTGCAAAGCATGAGCGAACCACGATCAATGAATGCATTGTCAAGCACCTGGCCCGGGAATGTCGGACCAATTCAAGCGCTATGTTTCGTACGGTTGTAATTGATGAAGCTGTAAGTAGACCATGAACTCTTCTACCCATGCTCGCAAGTACCGTAGTGCTCGCGCCTTTCTGACAATCATTGGTGGGGGTTTTCAGCACTTTCTGAAGAGCCTCAAGACTCTTTGGGGTATGGCTGCTGCTTTGTTAGGACTCCATACGGAGCGCATGTTGCCAATGACTGGTACTCCATACAACAACTCTTGTCAGGACATTGCTTCTCTCATGACCTTCATAAACCCAACCGAACATTGGGCTGCTGAAAAGTGGTGGAAGAGAGCCACCGAAAATGGGGATTCACGCAGAGTAGCACAGGCAGTCGCTGAATGGAGCTCTACGCGGTTGCTTCGGAGAGACAAGGACGTTATTGCGGACAAGCTCCCGGGGAAAGCAGTACGAAAGGTCCGTGTTTCGTCGTGTCCTGTTGAACTAAAAGTGTAAGTCGACAAAACGGTGAAAACGAATTCAGCTGCCTCGCCATCTTATCACACTTTGTTTGTCTGATGCAAAACGAAGCTACGAGGAATACGAACAGAAGCTGCAAGCTGCATTTGGAAGGCTCAAAGCACTCGACAGCGGCGGCACTGGTAACACTCGACTTTTCCAGCAAAGTTTGGAGGTAATGCTTCGGACGGCTGCTTGTTGTCGGATGGCATTGATCCACCCTATTCTACCGGGAGGCGGGCGAGAAATCACTGTGTTCTTTTCGCCCTCCCGTTGCAATATGAAGTCTGTTCGGTCAAGTTTAGAGAAACCAAATCTCTGCGTTTGTTGTAAACGAAAAGTGCAGCTACGATGCCGGCGTAATCGGAACTCGGATACCGGTATCGAGCTCGGTGCCGAGGATGATGACGACCTGTTCGAGGATGACAAGACAGTGGGAAGCAACGACAATTGGAACGTTGAAGACGACTCTGAAGCCGAAGAAGAAGGAGCTATGCCCACCAAGTTCAAAACCCAAAAAGGTCGAGGGCCCATCGTTCCAATACCCACCGGATTTTGCCAGCTGGCTGCGCGAGGCGTTCGCCATTTCGCATGCGAGTCATGCCTTGATGAACTAGAAGAATCAGGATCAGGCTGCCCACGGTGTGTCAACCTATTTGGCAGACTTGATTATATGAAAAGCGCTGAAGGTGTCAGTGGGTCTGGGCAAACTGAAGGGGGGCAAATGACACGAAAGCTCTATTGCAAGGAAACTTTTGGTGGATTCCGGACCACCGCGAAGCTGGACAGCGTCCTATCCGACTTCAAGTCAAAGCTTCCCCGAAAGGAGAAAGTGCTGATTGCATCTTTCTTCAAAGGAACCCTAGATCTGCTGGAGGCCATGTTTGCGGAGATGCAAGTCCAAGTTGCACGATTTGATGGTGATATCAAAGCTGACGAGCGCGAGAAGGAATTGAACAGGTTCAAACTAGACGATTCATGCCGAGTTCTTTTGATGACGGTACAAACAGGTGGGACAGGACTTAATCTTGTTGTGGCCAATCATGTTTGGTTTGTTGACCGATTCTGTAAGTGGCCTCCTCGTACATACATGTATGTCGGCTCGTCTCAGCCTCGTGTTTCCAACGATGATCTATTTGCTTCGTCATTCAACATACCACAAAGGGAATCCAATGGTGATGTAAGCACAGCTACTACCACTGGCCAGGTCGCTACGACAAACAGTCGGGCTCACTCTTTTCCTTTTACACTCTACTGAACCCCGCAGGGAGCAGTGTGAGGATCGTTGCTTTCGCTTGGGGCAGAAACGAGAGGTCGATGTTGCCTATCATGACGTTCAATTTACTATCGACGATGTCATGCACCACATCAATTTACGAAAGATGAAAAACGCAGCCGTTATTCTGGCTGATGGTACAAAACTCTCGACTTCCGGTTTGTCGTTCAAGGACCTTTCTGGAAAGATGGGAGAAGGCATTGGTCGTGCCCAGGAGGCTCGCGAAAGATTCCATCAACTAGGAGCCCATTCAGAAAGAAAACCGAGCGCACACAAACGGGAATCTACAAGTGCATCTCCTTTTGCACCATTGGCGGTGAGTAATTCACGGCGTCGTGGACGCAAACCCTCCAAACCACTTCGGTACGCTTCTCTGCAAAAATCCACCGCGGCTGCTCAAGATTCTTGGGCCCGACGAACGGGCTTTGACACGTTGGATGGCTACAAAGAACCCACACAACCGCTCGCAAATCAGCATGCCGATTCCTGGGCAGAGCGGACCAACTTTGCTGCGCTGCTTGGCGAGGATTTAGGATCAGAGGAAGCCTACAATCATCCTCAATGCGATCCATCCTACCAGCATGGAGCTGATGGTTCCCAGCATGACCAACCTAACAACTCACACAATGACGGTGGTGGCTCCTTCGACTTGAAATCCCAGCTCCGTGAGTTGACCGGTGAACACAGCTTGGAAAACTCCGTGGCGGAGCTTTTGTTGGGCGAGAGCCATGGTAATGTAATGCAAGCAGCATCTCTTTACAGAGACCAGCAACAGCAGCTGGGACGACATAGCAATAAGCGAAGCACTCGAGCTCAGAAGTCATCATGGCCCTATTCAGGAGGAGACGACCCAGAGGTCATTGTGCTTGATTGAGAACGTTAGGGGGTGAGATGAGATGAGATGAGATGGTACCTGGTACCTGGTACGAGGAGAGGAGAGGACGAAGGAGTAGCTTGCACATTGCAGAGACGGAAATGCCGATTCAGAGGATCCCTGCAGTTATCGACTTGGCATGGTGGCGCAGCAAGCGCCATTCTTCTTTGGCTCCTCAAGCAGCGAGAACTTTCAGTAAAATACTAGAGATATGGGTTTAAGAATAGATAATTGCTATCGGTACGGATATTGTAGACTTGTTCTTCTCCTTCTAATGGCACATGTTCAACCACACGGACGAGAATGGTTGATTAGTTTGTAAATCTGCCCTTGCTCATTGACAAACATAACCACACATTCCTTGGCATTATTGACCGATCGATAGTAGAGCGCCACGGAATCCTTGCCTGTGAGCACATCTTGCAACTCAAAGTGTAGCTTTGGATATTTTTCCAAGACTGCCACAAAGTACTGCTTCAAACTGTCCCTTCCTTGGAGTGATTGTTGCCCCGTGAGTTTTGGGACAAAGGGTGAAATGAGCTCGACATTGTCGTCCAAGCGCGAGTCGAGAAACGAGTCCATGGTCTCACGGCGATTCCAAGCTGCAATCCACTCCTTGGCCAGCGTCGAGGCTAGATCGTACGTCATCGTGTTGGTGATAGTAGTAGTCGTTGCAGCTTGGCTGGATGCTACGGAGCTCTTTGCCGTGATATCCTTGGTACGGTGGTCAGCACGTGTCGTCGCAAAGGACGAGCAGGTCGTCATGCCGAGACAGAAGATTGTCAGAGCAAGTCCAAAGGTGGCCGTTCGAAATAGCTTCATCTTGCTTGCTCAGCGCAGGAAATTATGAACCTTGCGACCTTGGATTCATCATCATCATCTTCGCTGTCTAGCTCTAGAGAGGGGAGAAAATGAAGTGAGGATGTGGGTTTCCTCAAAAGATCTGGATGCATGTTTCGAAGTGTTCCTGAGAGCAAAAATGACTTTTTGGCTCTTGCAAGGTTCCACGTGTAACCCCAAGATCTGCCTTCGGCAAGGGCATCACGGCATCACAGCATCACAGCAGCAACCCCACAAACACATCCCCCAAAGCATTGAGGAGTGCAAGGAGCCATGAGGAGACAGGGTCAGCTATCATCCTTAGCGTGGACAGCAGTGCTACTCTTATTATTAGTAGTACTGGTTCCAGAATGCAGTAGTTTTGCGACGACGCCTTCTCCACTTACTCGACGACAGGTGGCGTCCACTACGTCTTCTCAGCGCCAAGCCTCTGTGGCACTGCCAGCGGATGCCGCATCGCAAGCCAACAACAAGAACCAGGCTAGTGAGAATTCTGACGACCCCAAAGTGGGAGTGTTGCTGTTGAATCTTGGAGGTCCTGAAACGGGGGATGATGTAGAAGGTATGTACAGTAGAAGACAGACAAGACTTCTTGCTCTTGTCCTCAACGGCACGAACGAGACCCAATCCTCACTCTTGTTTCTCGTGATCGTTTCACAGGATTCCTGTTCAACTTGTTTGCCGATCCCGACATTATTCGATTACCGGGACTTCTGTCGCCATTGCAGACCTTGATTGCGACCTTTATTTCCAAACGTCGAGCACCCAAAAGCCGCGCTGCGTATGAAAGCATCGGTGGTGGATCTCCCATTCTACAGTACAGCAATGCCCAAGCCAAACTGATTAGCGAGTCGTTGGCCAAACGACATGGAATATCGGTGCAAACGTATATTGGAATGCGCTACTGGCATCCGTTCACGGAAGATGCATTGAAACAAATCCAACGGGACCACATTGATGCCCTCGTGATTGTCCCACTCTATCCACAATTCAGCATTAGTACATCGGGGAGCTCCTTTCGGGTCTTGCAAGAAGAATTCTCCAAGGATGCTTCCAAATTCGGGGACATGGTACACACGGTCGTCTCTAGTTGGTACGATCGACCGGGCTATGTCAATGCCATGACCAAATTGATTGAACACGAATTGCAGAGTTTTACCGAGGAACAAATCCAAGAAGCACAATCTACAGCACCCGATTTGGAACCCTTGCACATTTTGTTTTCCGCTCATGGAGTACCGCAGTCGTATATTGAAGCGGGAGATCCCTATCAGACACAAATCATGGCCTGTGTCGATCGCATTACCAACGCTATTACACACCCGCACGTGCAGGTCCATTTGAGCTATCAATCGCGCGTCGGGCCCATTGAATGGCTACGACCGTACACGGACGATGTATTGCCTGAATTGGCCCAAAAGGGAGTGCGCAATCTTGTGGTGGTGCCCATTAGTTTTGTCAGTGAACACATTGAAACATTGGAAGAGATTGATATCGAATATCGAGAATTGGCAGAAGAATCCGGTATTACCAATTGGAGACGATGTCCGGCACTCAACACGGAAGCATCGTTTATTGATGACATGGCTGATATGGTCATGGATGCGTTGGAAGAACCAGCGCAAACTGTCACGGAGGCATGTGTGGCCAACAATGTGGGTGATGTCGAACTCCAACCACTCGATGAACGAGTCGGTATCAGTACGGTGGGTGTCGGTGGTGTGGGTGCCGGTGATGAAGAAGTATTATTGAAAGAACCAGAACGGTTACTGGCACGAATTGCTATTGCCGGAGTTTTCATTACCTTTCTTGTGGAGCTTTTCAGCGGGAGTTCCATGGTGGATCTCTTTTTTGGAAGCTAGCGAAGTTTCAAAGGCGCCGCTGGAGGATCATGTACAGTCTGATTGGTTTTGCAAAAAGCACTTCTTTCTTTGGGTCTACAGATGATGGACTGCTGAACATACAATAAGCAAAATAGACACAAACAAACACACGCACACAGCTAGCTCTAGCTGTACGGTATGTCTGTGACAGAGCAGACATGCCTCCGGGTGGGTTCATGGCACTCCAAGAGAAACTTTTCCAGGATTTTTCAGAAACAGTGCACATCACATCTCACAGCAAACACGCGAAGGGTCTGTGTGGTGAGCCTCATCCTCAAACAGTCATCCCAAACATCACGCTGCTCTCTGTCGTTCAGAGAAAAAGGCGGTAGATGTTGCAAGAGGTTCAAGAGACCAACGGTCTCAATACCGCACAATTCACAAATTGACCAAAAATGTAGAGTAGCCTGCGTGATGGCGTCAGCTGCTTCTTTCGGGGCTTCTAGCTAGGCCGGTAAGGCTGGCTCCCATGGTTATTTGGTTTTAGAAAGCTAGTTGCGTGGAAGGTATTGCCAGATCTCGATTAGTTTTTGGTAACCAACACTCATGTACCCAACACTCATGTACCGTACCGTACCGTACCTAGCTGGTTTGATTAATCATTGGTTCCGGCCGTCTTTGTCCCGTGGATGCACATGCACATTTCTTTATTCATAACCAACCCAGGAACAACTGTGTGGAAAGAGTTGCCAAACCCAACTTTCTCATGCACGTTGGCCCATCCTTACGGTGGCCCCATGTGGGGCAAGAACACCCGACGGAATGGGCTGTAGGATGATCGTAGCCTACTCCAGCCTCCCAACTTTGTGGGGGGCGTCTCAGCCTTCATAGATTAGAGGTTGGGCAGCCCTGAAAATCCACACAGGAAACAACTACCACAGCAACAAACACCTCCACACACAAATCCAGCCCATCGAGGCGCTGGATGGAGATAGCTAGCTAGGTAGACTGCAATGTTTGGTTTGACCTAGTTGTTGTGCATCTCTCACTCAGAACCTTCGCTTTGACCGCCTGCTGGCTTTTGAGGATCCAAAGCAACTATAATACAGAACCTCTATCATTTTAAGATCGGCATGGTCAACGACACCATGGAACCTTCAACACCAACCAGCAACCCCTTTCACAGAAGTAATGTCTACCCGAGGAGAATGCAGTTTGTGAGTAAACTTACTTAGTTCAGTCACTTTTTGCTAAAATCGTATGATAATGAAGGGGTCCAACTATGGTCATAGTAGGGAAGGCAAAGAAGGTCCATAGGATCAGGCGTGGCAAACTGGAGACCACATCAATTGAACAAAAAGCTTTCCAAATAGGCGACTGCATCCTGCCACCAAGCCAATGCCCTGTTAACAAAGTTGGCCTGTGTGGGGCTTCCACCAGTGCCTAGGTTACCAACTTGAGGCAACTGATTCAGGATAGGTGAAAATGTGGGAAAGTCAGTTTGTCCCCACATTTGGACAAGGCCAATATCTAGAGTTGCTGGACCAGCATAGCTGATTGCTCCAACAAGGACTTTTGTCCCATCCCCAGAAACAGCAACACTCCACCCCAACTCATCACCTTGATTAATTCCATCAATATCAAAACCTTGGAATCTGCTGATCTCTTGAAGGACCCAATCAGCGCCGTCAAACTTGTAGATGCGAGCGTAACCACGATCAGGACAAAGTGAGCAGTAAATTTTTACAGATCCAGCCACAAGGGTTTTGCCATCATTGGATATATCAATAGAGGTCCCAAATGCATCCCCTGGTTCGTCTCCAATGAGATCACTATATATATATATATATATGCATATATATATATATATATGCATCAAAAGCCACAGGAGGCAGAGTCAGCAATCAAACAAACAAAAAATGCTGCGTGCACATGAATTCCATAATCCTCAATGCTTGCCTTCCCAGTTGAACCCATGATTGGTCAAATCTTTCAAAGACTTGCACCCTGCCAACTAAGGTCGCCCCAACCGTATCAAATCCAGGGGAACCAACGGCAACGATGCTTCCATCATAGTTTAGAGCCACAGAAAAGCCAAAATTGCTTGTCAAAGAGGTTGGACCCAAACATGGCCGCACCATCAACTGTAAGTTGTTGGATGTTGCCATCGCTGCGGTAAACATGGCATTCACCAAACCTTGTAGAGTCAGAATCAGAGGATCCAGATAAACGCATTCCAACAGCAAACCAGTTGCCATCTCCAGAGAGTGATACAGATGCCCCCAACCCTGCCGCTATAGTGTCTCCATACAGTCCAGAGACAGTGGTGACGAAGTCGTCGTCAATATATGTCTCACGCTGCCAGTCAGTGCTGTTCCAGAAGTAGGTTGTTGCAAACCCAATGTTGGCTCTGGTTGGGCTATCATAGTTTGGAGCCCCAACTGCTACTTTGCCTCCATTGGCGGACAGAGAAATGGCATAACCAAAGGAAGAAATTGGCGAGCCATCCAACTGGACACCTTCAATTGTACTGCCTCTTTGCAGCCACCTCTCTCTTTCTGTGTCATATTGGAACACCACGACAACTTGATTGGTAGAAGAGCTGACAGCAACAATGCTGCCATCTCTTGATATTGCAACTGTACGCTCAGCAAAGGACATGTCAAGAGGAAACCCTGTCAAGTTTTGACCTTTCTGGGTCCATTGGTTGTCAGCATCATTCTCGTAGACACGAACAGTGTCAGTTCCATATTCACGAACCACTATTGTCGACCCTAGCTCGTCTATGTCCACAGAGTCTCCAAACTCCAAATTCTCCCATATTGGTGTCTCCTTCAAGATTTCCTCCAAATTGGACGTAGCCGCTGATGGGAGCCAACCAACGATGCTGTTTCATGTTTCCTGCATTCAGGTCAATGATTTCTAAGGGTTGTTTATTCTGAGGTTCACTGGTACCATTCACTGATATGAAGAGAATTGCCAACTGGGCACACATCAGGCTCGCCCTTGAGCAACCTGGATGAGGAGGAAACCATTCCGAAAGATCAAAATTCCACAGCATGGTTGATTGTTGACAAATCAAGGAAATTAAATTCCATTCCATTCCATTCTATACAACTCGAGCAGCAGATGGAGCAGGATGAGGCTAGCTACGGTAAGCCATTCCATTATGATACTGGCATTGGGATCCTCGAAAGGGCCGACCACGCATCCAAAAACGGCGATCCAAAATCTAAAACTGGTGTGTGCACCATGGCGTCTTGCTGAGACGAGCCGAATGTTCGATTCGATTCGATTCGATTCGATTCGATTCAATCCCACAGACATGACATCTTGACAGAGTGTTGGGCTCTGAGTAAAGGTCAGGTGTGCTTCCAAATGGAAGGTTCAACTTTGCTGGAAAAGACGACACGAGTGGTCCCAATTTCAAAGGTTCCCCATGCGAGGTCTAATTTTCCAATCTTCCTGTCTTTTGTGGGAAGAAGAAGGGTCGAGGATTGCGGTATGCGCAGTCTCGCGCAGATGCGTAAAGGTAGCTGAGGTAAATATAGGGTTAAGCTCTAATGAATTCCATAGAATGAGGCATTTACCAGAACTACCAGGAACCTCTCCCGGACACATCAGTACCGGTACGTACATCCATTGAACTCCCAAGCTTCGGCAACGGCTGTACATGTATGTTGATGTGGATGTGTCTGCCAATCCTTCCCACAATTTCTTCAAAACCACAACCTCTCAAGCCCAACCATTACTGTATTCATTGCAAGTCGATCAACAACAATGGTGGCCATTACAACCTCAACTAGTCGCCGCTTGAGTGAAAAGCTTCAGCTTCGCAAGGCCAACCTGCGCAAGAGCAAGAGGAAGAACGAACAGGTTCAGATATTGGGTCACCGAGGGGCTCTGTTTGAAGGTGTGGAAAACACCCTGGAAGCCTTTCAAAGTTGCTGTGAATTGGAAGGTTGCGATGGAGTGGAATTGGACGTGTTCAAACTGAAGGATGAAAGTCTGGTGGTCTTTCATGGCACTGGAGGAGACGAAACACCAGGACTCCTGAAAGAATACTGTGAAAGCGAAACACCCGCCGAGAGCATTTTGGACTTGAATTTTCATCAAGTCCAGAAACTTGAGTTTGTGGAGGAATCCGAGCACTTAATGGCCTCGCAAGAAATGACCAAGCGAGCTCGCATTCCAACCCTCCGACAAGTCTTGGAGCTGTTTCGTCAGTATCCCGACAAGTCAGTCACCATCGAATTGAAAGGAGAAGGAACCGAACAACCAACAGTGGAGTTGGTGGAAGACCTACAAATGACAGACCAAGTCGTTCTCTCTTCCTTTAAGCACGCTCGAGTGCAACAAGTCAAGCAACTGAATCCCTCTTTGAGGACTGCCGCCATTTTCAAAGGACAAGTCCCCAGCGATTATCTACAACTCGCTTCCAACGCACAAGCCGACGAAGTCCATCTTCGATACGATACCTGCAGTGTGGAACGAGTCCAAGAGGCGCAGCAAGAAGGATTCCATGTCATGGCTTGGTTCCGTGGTCCCAAAGCCATGAAACAAGATGTTTCGGATACTTACGTCGATGCCGTCAGTGAAACAACCGTCTACGATATGGTATTACAGACTGGGGTCAATGCCATTTGTTGTAATCGACCTCATGAAGCTGTTGATTTGGTACAAAAGCAGTAGAGAGAAAGCAAGTTGGAGAGAGCACGACAGAAAAGAGAAAGTATTTCTGGCGCCTATTTCTGGCGCCATCCCCGCGAAAGGAGAATCACGAGACGCCGAGCTGCATTCGATTTTACAAGAGACAAAGAAAGATCTTTAGCAACCCTGCTAGAGTCTTGCCAGGCTAGCTGGGAGTAAACCACACAACTTAGCGCGCTGCTAGTAGATTACTTGAGTTACAGTCCATTTGGTAGCACAAGCTCAACACCAAGGGACAATTGTGTAGTTCTGGGTACATGTATTGTCTGTTTACTCAGCTCCAACCATCAACGCTGAGGAGCTGTCAATCCCTGCGAATCGAATGATTCAATCACTTTGAGGCTCAACCTCTCCCGTTGCGAGCAAGGATCCTGACACTGGACTTTCTCGACAGCCCCAGCCCATGCTGAGAGAGCGACAAAATCACCAGGACGAAAAGGTCCTGGTCTAGATTGGCGCTTGTTGTTCGAAAATGACTGAGCACGTGGTCTAGCGTGGTGTCTCACACACCTCGCACGTATCCGGATAGCTGGCTCTTGCCAGGCTTCGATGGGGCTGCTACTAGAGCGAAGCCAAACACTGTGGGGCGTCGTATGTTGTTGCTTTTCGCTTTTGCCCAAGCCTCAGTCAAGAACTGCTCCAGGTATACCATAGGACTAAAAACACTGCAGCTCCGCGGAGTGTCTACTATAGTAATTGGCGTAGGTAGCTCATCTTGCTTGTGACAACGGCTTCATCTCTACAAACCGTTGTGTCAATTCCTGCTAGTGTTACGACTGCCTAGTGCCACACCTTTCTTCCAGCAGTGATATTCCTCACCAGCAGACATGCCTAAACTTCCACCTCATCCCCAATACCTCCCAATGGATTGTGCACCTCTACTTCAGGTGCAGCCCAGTTGTGGGGCCCGACAGGATTATTGCCCCCCAAAATGTCTGGCAAGTCTTGTTGGGAGAGATGCTTGTACAGCCGGCTTCGATCCTTGAGATTCTCCTGGGGGTGCATAATGCTGAATTTATCAATGATCCGCTTGGGTAGGATGCCACTCAGAAAACTCCAAAATGCATCAATGATCTACAGGCAGGAAATGTCAATGATGAATTGTCAATGGTGAAGGCTCAAATGAAGAAACATTTCACAGATGCCAATGTATACATACGGTGGGAGGGTTGCATGCAAAGAGACTTTCTAGCAACTGGGGATAGCAATCTTCCATGCTAGACATAGCTTTACCTGCTCTCCTCATGTATTCACGGCTAACGTTACTCATACTCACGCCTTCCAAATTGGCAATTCTGTGCCATAGTAATCAGGACATGAGCGAGCAAAAAGTCAGTAATCTAGCCAGTTCAATATTGTTGAGGTCGTGTGACAAAACATACTCTACATACCGGACAGACTTGGTAAGACGGCCAGTTGTCCTTGTCACATAGTCAAGCCATTGGTGGGTCCATTCCGTGCAGTACACAAACAAGGCCAGCCAGTAGTCCTCAGTCAGATTCTCCACCACCTTGTGTTGGTTCATGCTAGTAAGTTCCAGAAAGGCAATGACTCCTCGTTTGGGATTAGGATGAGTGTATGCCATGGCATCTTCTTCCACAAGATCAAGAAACTCCTTGATTTTGCCATTGTTGACTTTGTGGGGTGGTACCTGACGAATATCCTCTTCATCCAGCTTGTGTTCTTTGCGAAACAAAAGAGTGTGCTTTGCAGAATCAATGGCAGCTTGGCTCTTTTTGTGTGACAGCCAGAACCTCAAAACCCACAAATCATCATGCTTGGATTCATCATAGAGTGGATCATCCACCAATGCTGCCTTGATTTTGGCAATCTTCTCACCATGCTCCTTGATCAAAGCCTTGACGGATTGACGATCATCCTCGGGACAATCAGGATCGATGGGGTCGGCAATTGAATCTGAGATTCCATTCATCCATGGCCACGATGTCATCTCGTCCTTTTGTAGTACTAAAAACCGGTTGGATTGATGACGACGTTTTGCAGGTTACTAGGTTTGCATGGAGCTACTGGATACTGCAGTTGTAATGAGAGGATAGACCACACGCGAATGATCCTCGGTTCTATGCTAGATTCGAATGCGGTTTGGTGTCATCGAGCTGCAGTGAGAACTTACAAATTCCGTCTCCTGAGACGGCGCTCCTTTAGGTTACCCCCTCAGTTGCACTCTGAAATCGATTGGCTCGTGTTTACTGTGTAAATTAGTGTACCCGCACTTCAGTTGCAGAATCAACGGTCATGTGTATCCATAAGTAACAGGTTCTCGTTCGACAAAAATAGATCGATTCGTGGGAAAAAATGACCGTTGAAGTTACTAAGGTTAAGGATGAACTGATTGAGTACATGGTACCGGTACGGCAATGAATGGTTCAAGTCCATCATTGAAGGCGCAGCACTGACTTCTCTCCCTCATTCAATTCCTATGGTAAACAGGAGAGAAATCCGAGCTTGGCCGCCAACAGTGCTTTATCCAATCGGCCGATCGATTGATTCGATTCGAGGTAAGCCTATTATCAAGAGTGATATTGGAGGTGTAGATGCGAAAGCCATCCTTCATTCATTTCTATGGACCATGGGCAGGCAGTCAGATCTCGGCCATCAACAGGTGAGTTGTTTTAATTATTCGAATCGAGTCGATCGTTTGCACCTCTATTATCTCTATTATCAAGCCTCACTCAAGCCGTCCTTCTCCGGTGCAGATTCGAAAGCCATCCCTCATTGAATCCTATGGACCATGTGATGGCAGTCAGTTCTCGGCCCATGACGGCCAAGTTGGAGAAAATTGAAACAATGGTAAGTCTCCGGTCGTCTGCAGTTGAGCACAGAAAACAAAACTCATATCTATTTGTTGTTTTCTCTGCTGTACTGCTGACGGCCGAGGAAGTACCATTGTCGAGGACTCCTTTCGAACGAACGATCGAGGCTACCACTACGGAGGCTCTGTTAACTCCAGCCCTACCAATAGCCTGAACGGAGGAGATCGTCATCGGGTCATTGAAAAGGCAACAAGAGGAGGAGGCTACACGACAACTCAAAACGCATAGAGGAGAGTGGATCCTACTACTGGATTCATCCCTCCAGTGTTATTTCCTAGTGTTTTGGTGGTGATTCCTGTGTTTCGGTACCCATTTTCCCATGGGAACAGTGCTTGTGGAGCCTGGATTGACAATATTTCTGTATTCATTGTAATGGTGAAACATTGGAGGGTAGCGAGCAAAACCAAACCTGAGTGTGTTCGGTACTGTTGACACTGTCACCGATTGATGTAACTCTACGGAAACTGGCTACAATGGCTGGATTGACAATATTCGGTTGTGCATGTATTCGTCATAAGGATCCAATGCGAGGTACCGGTAACCGTAGCGAGCTAAGCCGAACTTTCGGTACTGTTGCCACTGTCGTCGATGTAGCTATACCGCAGCCGGCTACAATGGCTGGATTCATAATGTTCAGTTGTGCATGTATTCGTCGTAAGGATCCAATGCAAGATACCGGCAACGGAGTGTATCCAGCAAAGCGGAACTTGAGTGTGTTCGGTACTGTTGACACTGTCGCCAATGTAACTGTACCGTAGCCGGCTACAATGACTGGATTAACAATATTCGGTTGTGCGTGTATTCGTCATAAGGATCCAATGCGAGGTAACCGAGTGCAGCGAGGAAAGTGAACCTGAGTGTGTTCGGTACTGTTGCCACTGTCACTGATTGATGAACTCTACGGTAGCTGGCTACGATGGCTGGATTGACAATGCGCGGTTGTGCATGGATTCGTCATGAGGATCCAATGACAGGTACCGGTAACGGAGTGTAGCCAGTAGAGCGGAACCTGAGTGTGTTCGGTACTGTTGCCACTGTCACAGATCAATGTAACTCTCTGCCTACGGTATCGTAGATTGGGTTTTTTCGTCATATGGATCCAAGTAAGGAGCAAACTGAGGAAACAGGAGACGAACGCTGAAAAAAGCCGAATCCAAGAAATTGAGAAGGCTCAGAGTGATTGAGAACTCGAAGATTTGCTTCCACAGTTCAGTCCCCTGCGCAAGGTTAAGGGTACACGTTTTTGGGACTGCTCGACAGTCAGTCAGTCGATCCGTGTTTGACAGCCTTGTTGGCTCATCACAGCTTCTTCTGCGCGATGAAAACTGACGTCACCGCTCTCTTGGTAGAGCCCTACAGTACTGGTACTGTAAATCGTGTAACCCATTTAGCTGTGACGCTCCAAAGCTCTTGCTTTACAAAGGGCGCAGGTGGTGCAGCATTGCGAATGCAAGGCCAAGCTTTTCCTCATTCTTTTTCTCTCTTGCTTGCTTCCTTGTTGTGTTCTCATAAAACCAAACTCAACCAAAGGAACCCTCTCGAGCTACCGTAGCTAGCTAGTAAACAGAGAGAGATCCTTTATCAAAGCCTTCAAGAAGCGAGCAGTAACAGAGGAATCCTGCCGTATCAGCGGGCAACAAGGGTTACTACTAGTAGCTAGATCGCCATGGGCAACCACTGTTGCCGGGCTCTGCCCTTCTTGACGGGAGGACGGAGATCCGCCATGTTGGATGATCGCGACTTGGTGGATTGGCGGGTCCTGGGTCGCGGTGCGGATGGTACGAGCAGTAGCGTCAGAGGAGATGACAATGGCAATAGTAGTGGCTTGACCATTATTTTGAATTTGCTGGAGACTTCCAAGATTGAACGAACGACGGCGTGGCTTCGTTCCAATTCTCATGTCATTCGACACGTTCTCATGGGACGCCCTCGTCGTCCCAACGATGACGACGATGCGCATCACCAGCAACAACCCAATTGGTCTTCCGAGGCCATGCGACACCTCTTTGAGGCGATTGGAGACATTCCCAAACTAGAAGTTCTGCTCATGAACGAAGTGGGAAGCGCCGAGAATCCCATTCCCATTCGGTTTCTATCCCAAGCGCTCGACAAACGTCACTCCTTGCTCAAACAAGCCTACTTATCCGGCCATTTCGACGGAAACCTAGCCGACTGTGAACTCTTTGCCAGTCGAATCTCGCAGCAACCACAACTCCAATGCTTTGCCCTCTACGGGAATGCCCAGCGAGAATTCACACTCGATCCCATCCTTCAGGCCGTGGCAGCACTACCAACCCTCCGCGATTTGCACTTTCACGCCAACATGCCACACCCCATCACATCGGACACGGTCCTCCAAGTAGCACGCATTGCGCAATTGGAAAAATTGACCATTCACAGTTGTGACATTACCGGCGACAACATGGCCACGTTGGCGACGACACTGGTAGGCACTGCCACTTGTTGTTTGCGAGAATTGACAGTCTTTGAAGCATTTGCCCCCAATTTTGCACAACAACAACAATTACCCATTTCCAATCATGCCTCTCTCGAGGCATTGACATATCTACTAAAGCACAGTCCATCACTCCGCAAGGTCCAAATCTGGTTTGGATTTGCCGCGGACAGTCAGATTCTCATTCCCTTTGCGACACAGTCGTTGACCCACAATCCGCGCATTACCCATTTCAACACGGCATTGCTGTGGACCCCAAAGTACTACGATGAAGATGTCGTCGAGACATTTGTGACAATGTTGGCACACCACAATACATCCTTGCAACATTTGCGGCTCTACAAGTACACGGGACGGTGGCGGCTGGCGCTCTACTTTTACATTCGCCTCAATCAAACGGGACGGCGGGCATTTGTCAATACGTGCGAACAAATGACAACCGCGGAATGGATTGACACGGTATTGACGGCCATTCCGCCATTGGTGGCATCACCCTCCGACCCAGCAGACGACAACCATAACGACACGAGTTTTCTGGAACAAGAACTACTAGACGGGGACGACTGGTTTCAACTCTCGTGGATCTATTACTACATGAGATTGCAACCGTCCATTATTGAGACAGCAGTGGCTACCGCCAAATCGTGAGGGTGGGTGTGGCATCATCAAATGTGAGGGGAGATGAATGGGAGCCAGCGCTGCAGGCTTTTGGAGTGAAGGGTTTGAAAATTTTGGCACCGTACAAGAAACGGTTTTCATATGAACCCAAACCAAAAATACGGTTTCGTGTGAACCCAAGCAACAGATACGGTTTTCATGTGAACCTGAAGTTGAGGAACTTCCATCAATATCAATCCAACAACAACAAAGCGTAATCCTCGGATTGAGGTGACGGAAGCAGCATTCCAAATGGTGGATGGGGCTGCAGAACTAAACGCCACCATGGCGTCACTCAAGCTTGCCGACGAAGTCCTTGTTCGCGTGGGTGGAAGGTTGTTTACTCTGAGCAAAGATACAATCTCAAAGTTGGAGACTGACTTTCTGAGCAAACTGGTGGACCCAGATTCGAACTTTCAAAAGCCAAAGGGTGGAGTGTTCATTGTGCAAGCTGGTGCTGCAGAGTTCTCAGCTATGCTTCACCTGATCGAATACGGATCGTTCCCCGCTGTAATGCTTTTAGAGGAGAAGGAAGCGGTGCTGCTTCGCGAGGCGGCATTCTGGGGTGTTGAAGACAAAGTTAAGAAAGCCGTAAGAGATGGAAGGATGAAAATGAAACCTAGCAGAAGTGTGTTCCAGAGGGGAGTGCAGTTATCCATGGAGGTCGACAAAGCCAAGCGTCACCACAATCAACGCGAAGATGACAATTGTGCTAGAATCTACTGTACCGACTGCTACAGCAGGGATATTGACGACCGTTTCGGTCATGGTGACAGCTACACCCAGTGCTACAACTGCAAGAAAGATGTCAAGTACAATCCGAAGCTTGGCTGGTGTCATAAATGTAGGCTCTGCCGTGCCTGCCAAGGCGGCAACGAATGCCTTAGTGACCGCAATCGCAGTGAAGGACCTCGGCCCCAACATCCGAAGTCGACCACAGCACTAAAAACGAGCTTGAGAAGTTCATGGCCTCAAATTTTTCGTAAGTGGGAAGATACGGTTACGATCAAGGAGGATTGGCCAATGAGCCGTGTCGTCGAAGCTTCAGAAGCAACGTGTTCAATACTCTGATTAGTCCGTTGATACATGGTGGCAAGAACTATGCGGTAAAGAATTTGAGTTGGCTACGAACTTTTTAGCTACAAAAGTCAAGCTTTTTTGATTGAGAAGAGCGTTTGGATCAAGGAGAACGCTAGGTATCGAGTGTTAAACGAGCCGTGTACGCTTTAATAAAGTCTGGTAGCCAGCCACAAAGGAGATGCGATCAAAGGCTGTTTCTCTGTTTGCTGGCTAGCTAGCTAGTACCGGTAGAGCCAGAACACCTGGAGCTCAAAATTCTCCGAAGGGGAAAATTTTGTGACCGCGTGAGTACCGGTATATGTACGTGTAAACTGGTGTCTATGTCTTCGTACGTGTCTGCCGGTACCTGGTACAGCTTTTACACTGGACCCGTCAACATCGTCATCGTTTAGCGAACCCCTTTCTGCAGGCTACCCGTTTTGTGACACAGAGGACACCCATCATCCATGTACCCATTGACGAAGAGACAGCAGCAGCTCAAGCAGCCACTACTGAGTATTTTGCAAGCCAAGAATGCAGTAGAAGCCACTATTGCAAGCCAAGATTACAGTACGTAGAAATGGATGATGACAAAGAAGCTTTGGGTCGCCCGCGGGAGGACAACAAGCAAACTGCGACGTTGCAGTCACCACCGACGGAGATGAAGAAACAGGAACCAGCGGGGCAACATCCGAGGGGTGCTGGAAACTGTAGTTCGAGGGGTCCAGGAAGCTATAGCGCTACCGCAGTTGCTGGTTCAAAAGAAATTGCAGAGGAAACAAGGAATCTTAGGCAACAACTCCAAAATGAGAACAACGTAACCGATCCAGTACATGCCATTTCGGGTGCTCAGTCAATTCGGCCACCAATAGATTTGGCAGATGATAGTGTCATGCCAATGCCACCGCCACAAAACAGTATTGCCCATAGGCAACAGGAGCAACAGCCAGGACCAGGAGCCTATCCTGTGCAAACGGTAAGACTGCCGGCGGAGTTTCGCCATGACGACACTCATGAGACCGAAGATGGCCTACAAGACCCCAATCATGCTCCTTGGAATATTACTGGAGGAATCCAGATTTCACCAGAAGAGAATGCTAGCAATCGTGAAGGCTTGGCCGTAGCCAATCTGGTGCAAGAAAATTCAGAATTCTTGGCTGCTTTGCCCCAGGCACAGAATGTGGATATGGATTCATCAGAGAGGAGAGCTGAGGAAACCAAGAAATTCAAAACCAGAATCTTGCTGAGCAGCATCCTTGTGATTGCTGTTATCATAATCTTGTTGGCTGCTCTAGTTCCCCCCAAAGATACTTCCACCGGTGATGGATCTCCACAAGAGGCACCCAGATTCAGCCCATCCCAAGCACCAACTACAGTTGCGGAATATGTGATGTCTCTCATCACTGCGAATACAACAGCCACTTATTTGGAAGAAGCTCCAGACTCACCCCAGTCACAGGCATTGAAATGGCTCTTGGAGGACTCTGAAAACCTGCCATATCCAGCCGATGAACGCTTGATACAAAAGTTTGCCCTTGCTACAGTGTTCTATGCCACAGGCGGCGCCAACTGGGCAGACCATGACCACTGGCTTGACCACAGTGTCAATGAATGTGAATGGTACACCAATCAAGAATTTTCACTGGCGACTTCCACATCATTCTTGTATCCTGGCTTCCTAAAAGACTTCTTCCCTTCAACAGAGCCCCCTCCTACAACCTGTGACGAACGCGGTCTTTATCAACATCTTTGGTTAGACGCAAACAATCTGCAGGGATCCTTGCCTTCTGAACTCTACTTGCTGACATCCTTGAAGACAATTTCAGTTGGGTGGAATAATCTACATGGGTCCATTTCTCGCCACATTGGACATCTTCGTTCTCTGGAGGGGCTATCTATGGGATTTGGAAAAGACTCCGGAACTATCCCATCCGAAATTGGTTTTTTGAGAGATCTACGTATGCTAGCACTCAACGACAACAATCATGAGGGATTCATTCCGTCAGAGCTATGGCAACTAACCAACCTGGAATTTTTTACATTGTTTGGCAACCCTCAATTAAAGGGGAGTATCCCAACAGAGATTGGGAAATTCAGCAAGCTGAAGTGGATCGTCCACTTTGACTGTGATCTCACAGGTACGCAACCCACATTCACTTTTTGCTTGTTGCCTTCACTGCTGCTCAATGACTTTCTTCAGGGACGCTCCCCACAGAGATTGGTGAAGCAACTTCCCTTGAATGGTTGGCTTTGTTTGGCAATTCGCTGACAGGAACCATTCCAACTGAACTCAAACAGCTTTCAAAGATACATCTCATAGCCTTGGATGGCAATGCACTCCAAGGAAGGATTCCTACAGAGTTGGGTGCACTCGAATCTCTTCGTCTTTTGTTTAGCCTGTTTGGAAATCAGCTTACCGGCTGGATCCCGAGCGAACTGGGACGTCTGACTAACCTGGCCATTGAATTGACTCTCAAGAACAACAATCTCACTGGTACCATCCCGACTGAGTTGGGACGGCTGTCCCTATTGAGTGGCATGGAACTCGAGAACAATCAGCTCTCTGGCCAGATTTGCAGTGAATTTGGGCAGCTCACGGCCTTGAGGCGCCTTCTGTTAGGCAACAATTCCCTATCAGGAACTCTGCCTCTTGAACTGCAAGCTCGTCACCAGTCCCTGCAAACTCTGTCTGTGGAGGGCAATCCCCGGCTATCTGGATCCATTCCGGAAGGACTATGCACCCTGAGCGGAATCTGCAAGGGAGGTCCATTGGACCCATGTAGTGGCCCTGCTTTGTTTTCATTTGATTGCACTAGCTTGCTGTGTGGCTGTGACTGTGCTTGTGGCTGACAGCAAAGTGCTTCTGCCATCTGTACTTTCTGTGAAACCGCTGGTGCTGCCACAAAGGTAGTTTCGTGACCCTGTTTCCAACCTGGTAGGGCAACGACAATGTGTCTGGGTATGCAGCCAGACTCTCGAGCTGCAGCGCCACAATAAGGTCCTCGAAGCGGCTTTCAAGTTCCCCACTAAATCAATGCGTGCTCTAACCCGTAGGTGTGGAATCGCGGTCTAAACTGACTAGCCATTAAGGGATTTCTGCTTTTCTTTGGGCCCATCATGGGAGCTTCAAGGAGCATCTTTTTTGAGCTACCGCGCAAGGGCTAGCGCTAAAATAGGGCTACACTGTAGTAGTGTTGCAACTTGACGCGTAGCGTCCCTCTTGACGGAGTATGTCTTTTTTTGCCCATTGTTGGATGGACGTACTGTACAATAATCCATTCATGTTCGTTTCTGGTGGAGATTCGATTCGAATTGCTTGGAGAAACATCAAGTCTTTTGTCTCTTGTATGGGTTCACCGGTGGAGGCTTCTTTGGGCTCAATTTTGCTTTGTATTCTCGGACTTTCTCTCTTTCCGTTGCTGGAAACAAACGTTCATCCGGGTCGAATACTAACAGCTTTCGATCCATCAGTTCATCCCACATGGCATCAAAGCGCAAAACATCGTCCGTTCGGGTTTTGACGACAAACATGCTTTCCCAGTTGTAACAACGGGCAGCAAGGGACATATTGTAGCTGCTAACAAGCGTCAAGTCCTCAACAATAACCTGCTTGCGGTGCATGGAAGCCATTTCGTTGAGTCCCTGTAGGTTGGCGATCCTAATTTTTAGGCTTTCAATACCCCGTCGTGGGGAGCCAGCAACGGCATGATGTGGCAATGAGTCAACATAAACCTTCATCATTTTGACAGAGTGAATCTTTGGATGAAGAATCACTCGAATTTCAAAGTGTCTTGCGTAGTGAACGAGCAAATCAAGAACATACGGGCAGGAGAGGCTGTAGGCGTAAATACGGATGATTCTCTCTTCGGTGTCTGGTATGCCCGAGTTGCTCTCTCCTTGCAGGATATTGTCGGTTGCTGATTTGAAAGCGGTGAACATTGCTCGGAGAGGATGCTTTTGTGGGACATCTTCAACATTCTCGTCTTTAGGACGAGGTTCGCAGTAGTACCGATCTCCCTCGTTCACATTCCCGTCGAGTAAAAAGTTCGCAAGCTGCGGAATAAACCACCCAGGTCTGGTTGCGGCGCTGCTTTGCTGCCGTTTTGCGAACCAAGCTCGGACGTCAGCTTCCTCACGCTCCTCGATGCTTTTTTCTCTTTCAATCTCATCGACATCGACTTCAGCGTCCTCCATGTTATCGACACTTTTCTCAGACTCTAGCCAGCAGTGACACGAGCAACAAGTAAGTGTGGCGAAGTTTGGCTACCATTGGCAGATGATAAAGCTCTATAACCCTAACCCTAAACCAAATGATTCGATTCGATTCTATGGCACCCAGCTCACGTAGAAACAGCTTTTTTCTGGTACTCAGAAACCGGCTACGCGAACCCTGTGTAGGCCTGGTACACCTGACGTCACTGTTCTCTGGCCAAAAAAGAAACAACGGCAACCAACCACCAGTCAACACACTTCCAAATAAAGGATGGACCATGCCATGACAGTAAAGATGGCAACAGAGCGCTATTATCATGTTACCCCAGAGGTGCTGAGGACCTGGGTATCCCTTCTATACCCACTTACTGACAAACGCCCTGAAAAACATTAAAGGTGTTAGCAGTGAAATCAAGAGAAAGAAGCAGTACAAACACAGCAGAATGAGGTTGTTGTCACTCACCAAAAAAGAGGAAATCCTGCTGTTATAGTTGACACCTTGGCTCCGCCCCATAAGAGATTGGATGGAAACATCCTTTGGGTATCACCGGAGGGGATCCTATGCCGCCATGGTGTCAAAAGGAGCAGCAGACTGTTTTTGGAAGCCCTTT